CCTGAGTAGCTGGGACTACAGGCGCACACTACCGCACTCAGCTAATTTTTCTTTTCTTTTCTTTTTTTTTAATAGAGATGGGCTCCCGCAATAGCCCAGACTAGTCTCAAACTCCTGGCCTCAAGCAACCCTCCCACTGCAGCCTCCCCAAGTGCTGGGATAACAGGCGTGAACCACTGCAGCCTCAAATGGTGGATCCTAAAGCGCAAAGCTTTCGTGGAAGCCCTGGGGTCCTCCCTTGATGGTCTGGCCATATTCTGACCCCATGGCCAGCCAGGATTTAGGAGGGCAGCTTTGTGCAAGGGTTCTGAATCAGTTTTGACTTAGGGCTTTGCCGATGGTGGATGGGGACGGGTATTCCGTGGACCGCAGAGCCAGCATAACAGGCGTGTTGTGTCTCGTAATGTGTTGGGTGCGGGAATCTTAGCCCAGATGTAACCTGATGGTGTCTGTTTTTATTCTTGCTCTGCCAAATGCATGAGCCAGAGTGATAGGTGACACGTCACACAAAGTATGGCTTCTTCCTGTCCCCCTCAGCCCCGCAAAGCCCTCAGGCAGCACAGACATGTTTTGAACTGTAATATCATTTAGAGATCACACTTGAGTTTGCAGAAAGGACAAAAATAAAATAGAAAGTGTAAGTTGAGTATCTCAGGGTACCTCTATCCCTTTATTCATGACATTTTTGCCAAACACCTTTTTTGGGAGGTGTAGTAAACTATAGTTAGTAAGCTTATGTAACTTCAGAACTGCTGTGTGTTGAAACTCCAGCTCTGATACCTATAGCTGCATGACCGTGGGCAAGTTCTCAACTTTCCCACACCTCAGTTTCATCATCTGTAAAATGGGCACAGTGTTAGAACCGTCTTTCAGGAGTTGTTGTGGGAATCAAAATATTCCATGGAAAGCTCCATCCATTTTGCTATGATTAGTAGTATTATGTGCCAGGCTCCAGAGATCAATGTGAGCCCTGCCCTCGTGGAGCTTATAGTCTGGTGGGGGAGACATATAAATTAAATAATCATACAAATATAAAATTACTTACACAGGGGCCTAACCTCATGTGAGGGATCGGAGACATCTTTCCTGAGGAAGTACGACTTGAACTCTGACCTGAAGGATGGTGGGAAGGGCATTTGAGTTTGGGTAGAGGAGTGGGTGCAAAGTCCCTGTGGTCCTCAGCTATGAGGGGGCTTTGAAAGACAGAAAGGAGGCCAGTGTGGCTGGCAGCATCCCAAGGAGCAAGTAGATGACCATGGGCAGACCCGTAGGCAGAGCCCATGTGCAGAGCTTTGTGGGCTGTGCTTGGGATTTTTACGCCTAATTTAAAAGCAAGAGGAAATCACTGCAGGGTTTTAAGCACAGGAGGTACGTGGTCTGATCACAGTTCCCAAAGATTGCTGGCTACAGGGGAGAATGGTGAGGAGCAGAGCCACATGGAAGCCATTCAGAGGCCTGGACCAGAGGCCGGTGTCTCCCCCAGTCCCTTCCTGGCGATAAGGGTTGCCTACCTGTGAAAATCCTGGTACTCAGGACCCACCCAGACCTGCAGAGTGACAGTAGGATTGGGGCTGGTGACCTTTGTCATCAGGCAAGGTTGGGAAATGCTCTGTGGGATAGGTAAAAATGAAAAGAGCCTACCTCCACTTTAAAAGCAATTTTTAAAAAGTAATTTCCAAAGAGCTAAGACTGTGACTTTGCCCATAACTTTATGTGTCATTGATAATGACACAACTAGAATAAGTGCAGGGAGCTAAGCCAACTCAAAACCAGCTAGCGGTGATTTTCAGTCATTTACGTTCCCAACCTGGGTCTCTGGGTCTCCTGTGAACACAGGAAAGCACCACCCTCCAGGAACAGTGTCCCGCCACCTCTTCGAATTAATGTTGCACTGACTTGGGCTCCAGGTCTCTGATTTTTAACGTAGAGGTATCGTATCAAATGGTGACAGGACTCCAATGGGTGAAAATATAGACTTCTGTGTTGACTAGCATCACGCAGACATTTCGTGGAAGGCAGCGAGGTGGGCCTGGGTTCTGGGGTCAGACAGAACTGGCTTAGGGTCCTGGCTTTTCGGCCAGCTGCCTGTATGACCTTGGGCAGGGTGCTGAGCATCAGTTTTCCTCTCTTTTTTTGTTGTTGTAAAGTTATTGGGATTACATTAAAAGAGAAAGTATATTACATATCCAATGCATAGTAGATGCTCGAGAGAATGGTAGGCTATACTACCTGCTCCCTACTTTCACATACACACATTTTTTTTTTCCTTACCACTGTGGATACAAGGTAGAAAGAAACTGGACCCTAAAAGGCAGACTTGTGTGATATGCCCAGCTTTGTATAGACAAGATATTCCACCAATGTCTGTCTGTCTGTCTGTCCATCCATCTATCCATCTATCCATTCCATATGACTGAGTACCTTCTACAGGACAGATATAGGAACTAGGAACTAGAAATAGACTAGTTGACTATTCTATTTCTAGAGTACTGCTGTCAAAAAGCAGGAAAAAAAAGCATGTCTTAAAGAAACAACAGAGACAGAAGCTTACAGTCCAATCCCTATGTTTTGGTTTTCCACATGGTTTTCCACTTCCCAAACCAGTTTCCTCCTTGAGAAAGGTTACTGTGACACAGCATTGCCATCTGGCCAGGGGTTACTGTGGGCCACTAAGCCCTGCTGCCTCATCCTGCCAGGCGCAGAAGGCTTTGAAGCTGGAGCCGGGGTGGAACAGCACTCACTCAGGCTCAGCATGCCGATGGGGTGACAAGTCCAGCCCCTGAGGCTAAGGCGCGCAGTGTAGCCCAAGCTGGGAGGATTTACTGATCGAGGCAGAAGATTACTGGGGATTAGCTCATCCTCTATCAGGGTCTCAGGGTTTTTATTTTACAAAAGGAAATAAAAGTCACAGAGCCTTGGATGATGTTGGTATCATCCCTCACTCTTGCAAACGGGACCCTCCGAGACTCTACTTACCTTCTAGGCCTCCAACTCCAGAGCGGTTGGGAGGCCAGGTAGACCTGGAATGGGCCCACGTTCCCAGCTATGAAGGTCATATTTGCCCCTCTATCTATGGCTGGTTTTTTAGCCTGAATCAAAGTCTTGGAGAACAGCAGTTAAGAAGCCTGACTCTGACAAACCAGTGTGGCCAAGGATCAGGTAAAGCTCCAAGAACATGACATAAGTTTCTCCTCCAGGGAAACCTGCTTTCCTGGTCTTTCTTATAGCTGTTACCCCTGGAGGCCCTTCCTGCCAGGCAGATGGAAGAGGCACCGGCCTGAGAGGCCAGGAGATCTGTTTTCTCACCCCAAGTCTTCTAGAACTCTGGGCGACCCTGGACCAGTCTCTTATAGAACTTCATTAACCTCACTCAGCCTCCGTTTGGTCCTATAATTATTGAGTTGTAATAGAGGCTTATAAAAGACCTTTCAAACTGTTACATGTGTCATTTCAACATACAAATATGGTCTTTTGTATTTTTGTTTTACAATTTTTCCTGCTGATAGATTATAAAGCTCCTCGAAGGTTGGAACCCTGCCATATACATCTTGGTGCCTCCTAAAATGTCTGGCAGAGTCCTTTGCACACAGTAGATGCTTTAAAGATGTGTTTGGTTTATTGATTAGGTATTGGCATAAAGAGCCTACATGGGGCCTATTGATGATGGCTTTTGTGAATATTCCAGAACTGAGAACCACCAGTAACCAACTGAGGGTAATTGACCAGTCAAGGAAGTTGCAAATTGGCAGCTGATGAGCAGCGTGATGGCGCGGAGGGAAAGCAACCTGCTCTTCTGCCCCCAGTTCCTCTCAAGGACAATAAAGGAAAAATGGGACCACAAGACAAAGGATTTACTCATCATCCTTCACTCTTGGAATTCGGCATTTGTCTGAGTTCACAAGCTATCTTCCCAATTTCTGCCTTGTTTTTTTATGGCAGAAGGGCGTTTTGGAAGCATTTCTGACCTCAGAACACCCAAGTCACATTATTTGTCAGGTCACTGGAGTCTGGACTCCAGCCCAGATATGAGATGTTTTCCTTTATTGGGGTTGTGTGAGTTTGCAGGTGACCATGTCTCGTGTGTATAAATTGATGCATTTATGCATGACCTCTCACTGCACATGCTTTGGAAGTTGCTAAGTTATTCACACAATTAACTGAAACTTTCATGTTTGTAAATGCTAACAACTTTAGGCTTCCTACTCTTACTGAATGCAAGTTCTTGGGGTTGTAGGGTGTAGAACTTTTCTCCAGCTGGTCTCTCAGCTCCGGGCTTAACAGATTCAATGAAACTAAAACTTTAAGTATTACTAGCACAAGAAAAACATCAACATTGTTTACCCCAGAGACAGGCATATAGTTCATTCATTAGTTTGCAACTAGAGAAGAGCCAGCCTGCATTGAGACCATCAGCTATAATATTTTCCAGTAGGCATTGATGGTAAGAGTGCTCAGAGGTATGTATAAGTCCAGTAGTCAATCAAAAGAAAGATTTCTCTGGTATCTTGAAGTAGGGAAATAATCCCTGTTTTGGCTTAAGGAAGGAATGGAAGTTGGGAATTATGTTTCTCATGAGGAGTCTCTCTTTTTTTTTTTTTTTTTTTTGAGACAGAGTTTCACTTTGTTGCTCAGGCTAGAGTGAATGCCATGGCATCAGTCTAGCTCACAGCAACCTCAATCTTCTGGGCTCAAGCAATCCTACTGCCTCAGCCTCCCGAGTAGCAGGGACTACAGGCATGAGCCACCATGCCCGGCTAATTTTTTTGTATATATATTTTTAGTTGGTTAATTAATTTCTTTCTATTTTTAGTAGAGACAGGGTCTCGCTCAGGCTGGTTTCGAACTCCTAACCTTGAGCAATCCGCCCGCCTCGGCCTCCTAGAGTGCTAGGATTACAGGCGTGAGCCACCACGCCCGGCCGAGGAGTCTCTTTAGGTATGTGCTGTCACCTCCTGGCCATTGGTAACTGTCACTGAGCATCTCTGTCCTATCTTCTACAGCTGGGAATTGCGATTGGGTTCTTGGTCCCTCCTGTTTTGGTACCGAACATCAAAGACCGGGACAAGCTTGCCTACCACATCAGCATCATGTTCTACATAATAGGCGGTGTGGCCACTCTCCTCTTCATCCTCGTCATCATCGGTAAGGTCATTAGTAGACTGATGGGTAGGGGCAGAGAACATGCTCCAAAATACCATGGACATTCACAGAAACTGGAGGCTGGTTTTTCTTATGGCCTTCAAATATCACAGCCTGAGCAATTGCCCCTTGTACGGTGTTGGCTGGTCTTGTGCACTTTGCTAGAGGCTCAGGAAAGCTTTAATTGTAATTAACAGTTCCTCAATCCTACATTACCAGAAGTAAGGAGTAGACTGCTGGTCCTCTGGATGAAAGCCCAGTGAGCACCTCTGATATCACAGGCATTTTGCTAAGCATGCCTCATTTCATTTAGTCCTCAACAACCCTGTGAGTGGAATACCATTATCAGTCTTGTTTAACAAAGAGAAAAAAATGAGACTTAAGGGAGGTTGACTAAGCTACCCAAGATTAGATAGCTAGTAAGTGGCAGAGACTAGATTCAAGTCTAATCTTGTCTAACTTCCTTCTCTGACTTTCTGAAAAACAAAACAAATTGACCCACAAACACTAATAATCTCACAAATTAACCTGACAATACTTGGGGGCCATATTTCTTTAATGATTTTTAAAATAATTATAAGAATAATATATGCTCATTATGGAAAAAGCTCTACAAAAAAGCATAAAGAAAAGAATGACCTAATTATCTTTATGCGAGTTAATCCCAACCACCAACCTCAGATAACTACTATCAATATTTTATTTTATTTATTTATTTATTTTGAGACAGAGTCTTGCTCTGTTGCCTGGGCTAGAGTGCCGTGGTGTCAGCCTAGCTCACAGCAACCTCAAACTCCTCGGCTCAAGTGATCCTCCTGCCTCAGCCTCCCAAGTAGCTGTCATCATGCCCGGCTAATTTTTTCTATTTTTGGTAGAGACTGGGTCTCACTCTTTCTCAGGCTAGTCTAGAACTCCTGACCTCAAGGGAATCCTTGCGCCTCAGCCTCCCAGAGTGCCAGGATTACAGGCATGAGCCACCCTGCCTGGCCTTACTATCAATATTTTATATGCATGTACATTTACTTATAAGGTATTTGGTAATAGAACTCTATATCCTCTTTTTTCAGCTGAATGATGTTATAAGGGCTGTGATAAATTCAGAAGCAGCATGGTAGAGGTTTATGTTTTCAGTTAGTCACCTGTCTAAAGGTGAACCAGATTTCTTTCTAATACCTGAAAGTTCCACTCCAAGTGTTAAAAGGTTGCATTCCTATCTGCTGGCCCCGCCTCCGGAGTCTAACAGTTCTGTCATTGTGCTCCTCATTCAGCCATTCTCACTGTGTCATTTCTTCCCTGGAGTCCAGGATGAGGAGAGGCTGCCTGATAGCTTTTAAAAGCTGGCAGAACATCTTAGACAGAGGCCTTGGTGCTCCTGGGAAGGTAGGAAGACAGCAAGGAAGAACCACACGGCCAGGGCCTGGCAGCCAGACTTTGACCTGACCGTCCAGCTCCAAATTCTTGTGTTCATAGCAAATGAGGGCCAGGTCCTTTGCAGTTGAAAACCTGGAGGTGCACTTTTTGGCATTTGATTTTCAAGCACAGATAATAGCTAACTGAGTAAAGAACTGAAAAATCTTATCTGAATTCTGCTTGTGGCTACCAAATCCTTAAGCCAACAGCTGCGATGCAGAGATAAGTAAACTTCCTTGCATTCTTTGCACTGATGGAAGGGGAGTGACCAGGCTGGACAATGGATGAGAGGCCCCTGTGGATGGAAAATATCCAGGACTATTTCCGGAGAAGGAGGAAGCGGGGGGCTCTGACGTCTGGGCTGGGGTGTTTTCTGGGTGGGGGCCCTTTGATCTGCGAGAGAGTAAAGCTCATTTCCGGAGCTCCCTCTAACTGGAGACAGTCTTCTGACCTTTCAGGAGCTTCTCCAGGGCGCGTGGGGAGGCCACACAGTGCTTGCTTGGACTGGATAGGGAGGTCAATTTAGCGAAACAACCTGTTAAACTGATCTGCCCCTAGAGAACGGGACGGCAGTGAGTGCAGTCAATGGGGCACAACAGTGGCACTGAAAACAGAATATAAACGGAGTGGTTTTCCACAGTCCCTCTCCAGCCTTCCAATCAGAGTGTCCCCTTCAGGAGGGGCGTACGTTAATCTTCTTGTCTCCTTCATGAGGCAGAGGGCTGATTCTGGCTTTGAGAAACTCAAAGTAGCATGCAGGGTTTTCCTACAGAAGCCAATAGCCCCCACTCGGGGGGTATTTACTGGCCACTGTGTGCCAGGCTCTGTGCTGAGTGTGGGCAGCACAGTCCCTGCGCCCTCGGGAGGAGCTCTGGTGCTGAGCTCGAAACAGGGCTTCAAATCTCAGAGCTTCAGCGTTTCTGCTTTTCCATCCGGGTGTTGCTAGTGTGTGTTTTCATTGCTCTGTGGTTGTTACAGAACTCCTTGGTCTTTGAACATTGCCTGGGAGGCCCAGTGATTTCAGCCTTCCAGAGGCTGTTAAGAGTAATCAAAGGACCATTTGCCACTCTGGGAAGCCGAAGCGGGAGAATCGCTTGCACTCAGGTGTTCGAGACCAGCCTGAGAAAGAGTGAGACCCTGTGTCTACTAAAAATAGAAATATTAGTCTCTACTAAAAATAGAAAAATTAGCTGGTTGTGGTGATGCATGCCAAGTCCCAGCTACTTGGGAGGCTGAGGCAAGAGGATCACTTGAGCCCAGGAGTTTGAGCTACACCGATGACACGCTGTACTCTTACCCAGGGCAACAGAGCAAGACTGTATCTCAAAAAAAAAAAAAAAAAAAAGACCATCTGCTCATTTCAGATAATGAGAAGCAGTTCAAAAGGGGAGGCTGTAAAGGATATAATTGAAGAATGAATATTTCCTTTGGCACTCTTAACTCCCAGTCAGATGATGCAGCCAGCTCTTGTCCCTGTGGAGCAAGCTCTGCTGGGTAGGACCATGGGAATTTTAGTCATCTCTGTTTCTTTCCTTTCAGTCTTCAAGGAGAAGCCTAAAACTCCCCAGCAGAGCCCAGTCCTGAGCTATGCCTTGGCGTCCACTGATGCTTCGTACTTAAGTTCCATCGTCCGCTCTTCAAAAACCTCAACTTTGTGCTGCTTGTCATCACCTATGGTAAGGTACAGGTGTGTCCAGGAGGCACTCAGGCTGGAAGTGAGATGACAGGCCTGATGTGTCTCTGTGTCTTACTCTTAACAAATCCAAAGTGCACGTAACATTGTTGTTTAGGGTCAGAAAGGGCGGTTGCATATGCTATATAGCCCAGTAGAAAGTAATTCCTTCCCACGTCAGGTTATCTGACAAAGTTGGCTGGTCCTTCAGTTCTCATCTCAGTATCACCTCTGTAGGGCAGTATTAGGGGACTTTCTCTTTCTTATCATGCTGTGCCATTACATATCTTAACAGTAATCATTTTTACAAAACCATTTCCGGGTTTACCTCCCCACTAGACTGAGCTCTATGGAAGTGGGGATTAGTTTTCCATCTTTATAGTTCCTCAGCGTGGCCAGCTTGGAGTGGTTACTCCAGCAGTTATGGAATGAATGAATGAATGAATGAGCATAGATGGTTCTTGCCACGTGAACCACTTCACAACCAATCCTCTCTCATTTGGTAACATTGACTTCTTTTTACCTGAAGCACAACATCCCTCTTTCATTTCATTTTCTTGGCTTTTGGCAAGATCAATTTGAATCTTTACGCTAGTGTATTGGCTAGCCTTTCCAGCATGGTGTTTTTATATCTTGTTTTAACCTTTAATAAAATTGTTTGATCAGACAAGGAAGGACAGAGCCTGATGGCATTCCATTAAAGAGTGTCCTGCAGAGAACACCAATCTGTTAATTCAGCGGTCTTCACTTTTTGGCACCAGGGACTGATTTCATAGAAGACAATTTTCCATGGATGGGGTGAAGAGGGGGGTGTTGCAGTACAGAGCTCAGGTGGTGATGCACAGCCGGTTCCTAACGGC